TTGTCACTTCATTCTTCTTATAAAGACAGCTTCTCCAACACAAATCTACCACTCCTCTGCCTTCCCAGTGTAAAAGCCCCAAGGAGCCATGCAACCTCGCTCCCGCTTATTTCCTCTCAGCCCCTCAATTCCATGAACCATGTTCCTTCTCACTTCATGGCCTTTACACGTGCTGTTTCTCTCCGCAGCTCTCCCCATTGTTTCTGCTTTCGACCCTGTACTTTGCCTGGTAACCTTCTACTCATTCTTCAGGTCTCAGTTAAAAGAACATTTCTTCAGGGGACATTTTCCTGACACACCTCCCAGGCTTGGACTGCTCCCCCATTTATATACTCATGGCACCATGACCCACATCTTCCTTGCCCTACGATCCCTCTGGGGCTCCAGACTCTTCCACTCTTGGCCTGAGAAGGCTCTGCATGTTACCATTCCACTCTTCTGCAGCTTCCACTCAAACAAGTCCTCAGTGACGCCTTCAATTCCCCAGGGTATGGATTTTTCTCTCTCTCTCTTGGTCTCTGTCTCTCGCTTTTCAGGGCACCTTTAGGCTTTTGTTTAGACCTGTTTGGTATCAATGCCAAGCTTGGAGCTCTATCACACCAGTTTGTGCTTTCCTCCCTGACTGAATCTCCAGGGCAGACACCAGATCTTGTTACCTTTTCACTATGGTGGAAGAAAACTAAAAATATGTTTGATGAACCAATCAATATGGATTCTCTGAAATTTCTTCTAACACAGAACACACCTGGTCATGGATGTTCTTGTTAAATGTCCTACCACACAGTTTCAAGTGACACTTGGGAAAAATGTCTAGTGTTTTTTCCTATTTGACATTTTAAACCAAATGTTTCTATGTGATATGATGCTAGGACTAAGTGCCAACTATTTCTGTGGGCAGAAGGAAAGAATGACTTGATGGGAGGAGATAAGAAGAGAAATAAAGAGAAGGACCAATACAATGTAATCAGAATAAGATTTTTTTTCTTAATCTTGTGGGTAAATACCACCACACTGGTGGAAACGACACTGAGAGTCCCCTGTGGCTGAGAGGGAAGCTGCAGAGAAGGTATTCAGTGCTAGCTAGCTCCATAAACTAGGCTCTGCGACAGAGTTGGAGACACTCTGTATTAGATACTGACCCGTGTCATGTGCCACTGGTGGGGAGGAAGACAGCGTGCTTTTCCCAAAGGGCGATGATCTCCCTAAGCGATGATTCTTCTCAGGAGGCAGGAGTGCTTTCCCAGAATAACCTTTTTGCTCTTTATTCAGCTGCTGCAGCAGATACTCATTAGTTACCACCAGGGATCTGAGGCACGGGGGAAAAGGCAGTTATGAAATCATAAAAGCAAAGTAGATGCCATTCAGACCTGTAATGTTTGCTAAAGACAAATATAAAATATAAAAAGTAACATCTTTAAATAGAAAGAACTGTCCAGTTTATGAGTGGGTTATTTTAAAGGCAGGCCAACAGTTTCTTTCTTCATTATGATTCTGTTTATGTTCCAGACTGACTGTAGCAGGAACATAGTTCACATTTTATACAGTGATTGCTCTATCCATTCCAAAGCACTTTCATGATGAGGTAAGTAGAAGCACTGGGAGATTGGCACCTGACCAGGCCTCCAATTTCTATCTCCAAATTTTAACTTCTACTTCTAATCTAACCTGCCTCTGCAGTTAACTAGTGGTACTGGTGATGGCTATACTTTTGGACTCTGAATTACCATGTAATGTTAAAAGCCATCAGAGACTGGCCAAAAAAAAAAAAAAAAGGTAAAAAATGATGCATGCACAATGCTATTCATTGCAGCACTGTTTATAACTATAAAATATTGCCAACCTAAATACCCATCAATAGAGGAATACTTAAACACACAATGGAGTCCCAGCCTATATAATAAAGAAATAACATGCTAATTAGACTGAAAGCAGAACGACCATCCGGAGGACCTTTCGTAACATGCTAATTAGACTGAACAGCAGAACGACCATCCGGAGGACCTTCCCGATGAAGCCGGGGCTGCGAGGAGGGCTGTGAGGGCCGAGCCCCTTGCACGAATTTCGTGCATCGGGCCTCTAATACAACTATAAAAAGGAATGAGAGCTACCTCTATACACCACTGTGAACTGATTGCTAAGATAAACTGTTAAAGTATCATTATGCCTCTTTCTATGTACTAGAGTGCCCATCTACACACACCTACAGTGGAAGGCTAGTGGGAGGGAAGGAGAGGATAGAGGAGACGGGTAAGGAAGCTAGATTTATCTGAATTTATCTCATTTTGTAGATTTGACTTTGGGACCATGTAAATGTTTTTACATAATTATAAAACAAAATTAAATCAAAATAACAATAAAAATTTCCTGTGAATCAAAAGCAAATTGAAACAAATTGAACCTGTATATTGAATGGATGGCTTAACACAGAGAAAAATTATTTTCAAGTTACTTTAAAATATAGCAATTTTACTGTACATCACTAAAGAGATGCACCCTAATGTTCTCAAAGTGTGGTCCCAGACCACCTGAAACAGCATCACGTGGAAATTGATGAGAAGTGCAAATTCTTGGTTCCCAGCCCAGACCTGCTGAATCAGAAACCCTGGGGGTGGGCCCAGCAATCTTCATTTCAACAAGTTTTTTTTAAAAAATATATTTTTATTGATTTCAGAGAGGAAGGGAAAGGAAGAGAGAGATAGAAACATCAATGATGAGAGGGAATCATTGATTGGCTGCCTCCTGCACACCCCACACTGGGGACGGAGCCCACAACCCAGGCATGTGCCCTGACTGGAATCGAACCTGGGACCCTTGAGTCCGCAGGCCAATGCTCTATCCACTGAGCCAAACCAGCTGGGGCTCAACAAGTTTTTCAGGTGATTCTGATGCACACCTGAGTTTGAGAACCGTGACTTTATGCTACTTGCTCAACTTTTGTATATGTTTGAAATAATTGCAATGAAAAGCTTAAAAAAATTAAAAAGCCACCCAGAATGGCCCTGGGTCTAATCCTCTGAATATGAAGTTATTCCAAGGAAAATCAGGAATTGAAGTTTGAGACGGAAGATGTGGGCATGGGGTTCTCATATTTAAATTTCATTGAAAGTCCTAGTAAAGGTGTTTGTCAAATCAAAATGTCCAGGGCTTCTCTAAATGTACCAATAGTCTTGAGGCCTCTTCTGATTTTCTAGCCTGCATCCTGAGGGTACTATTCTTTAAAGAGGCAGATGCTACCGAGCTCTTCCAAAGAAAACACAGACATTGGATTCTTTCTCTATTACTCTGAGTGCTCAGCGTATTTTCTGTGACCAATAGCAGGCAGGTATTTTCCAGAAGAGCCAGATGACTGATTTTGGGGGTACATAGTGACAAAAAAAAAATGCTAGCTGACTCAAACAAGGGTCCTGTTGGATCTAAAGAGAAACTACCAATCCACCAATTCCAGCTAAGACAGTTAGTCCCTGGTGTGTCCTGAAAAAGAGTACTTTGAACACTGAGCTAACTGGCCTAGATACAAGTGGTTTACATGTAACACGGAGTTAATTTGAAAAGCATATAGATATTAACTTGCCAGTAAAACAAAGGAGATAAAGGAAAGTAAGCACCTGCTTTTCGAAGCCCGCTAGATAGACCCGCTCCTACCTCTGACTTTCATGGAGAAGGGCCACTGTCTCCTCCAACTTTTTCAGCTGGGAAAGCTCCTGGTTCAGGCAAGCCACCTGTAGGTTCAGCTGTTGGTTTTTGCGCAGAAGATCATCTACAAAGAATACAGTAGCCACGGGTGAGAGGATTCCAAGCAGCTGGTCTTTGAGCAGAGCTTAAGGACATCTTGAAGAATGGGGGCCCCCTCACTGCACCCGCCTCCACACTCCACGTGCCATTCCTTCCCTTAGATACAGCAGATATGGTGGCAGGAATATGGGATTTAGCAACAAACAGATCTGAATTAAAATTCAACCACTTAATACCACATGTTAGTTCATTTTTCTGAGGTTCACTAGAGCTAATAACCCTGCCCCATAGCACTATTATAAGCCATCAATGAGACACCTATCCTCATTTAGCATAATTAGTCAATAATTATTGGGTCTTGAATTCTCCATTTTGGTTTATGAATACATGTGCTTCACTCTCTATGGAGTATGTGAAAACATCTAGAACTGTGTCAGGCACATAGTAATAACTCAATGAGTGCTTGGAGAAACTGAATTTGTAACCAAGACACTCATATGTAGTTCCCCAAATATATTCCCACTGCCTGCAATAATGAGGTAGGTAAAAGCACTTGAATTCCACCCGGCCAGTGTGTCTCAGTGGTTGAACATCTCGACCCATGAACCGGGAGGTCATGGTTCAATTCCCAGTCAGGGAACATGCCTGGGTTGTGGGCTCAATCTCCAGTGTGGAGCATGCAGGAGGCAGCTGATCAATGATTCTTTCTCATCACTGATGTTTCTATCTCTCTCCTCCCTTCCTCTCTGAAATCAATAACCAAAATATGTATATATTAAAAAAAAAAGAAGCATGCCGTCCTGAGGAAGTCTAGAACCGTACCTCTTAAACTTTAGAAACTTTAGTATGTTTACAGATCACCTGGGGATCTTGTTAAAAAACAGACTCCGATGCAGTAGGTCTGAGGTGAGGCCCGATAGTCTACATGTCTAACAAGCTTGCTGATCTGTGAATCACACTCTGAGCAGTAAGATTTGAGAAGGTGGAAAACAGAGCTACAATAGCTGTATTTATCACCAGTAAGCCAACACCAGTACTGGGCCTCAGGGCTGACTGAAAGTAGGTATCTAGTGAACAATCACCTGTTTTCAGAGCAGGTAAGTGGAGATGCTTTGATTATTCAGGCTTGTAAAATCAGACAGTGATGAGACTGAACTCTGGAAATTCAGTGCTGACTTCCAAATCAAGTTCCTTGTACAAACTGAAATGTTTGCTTAGGGGTGCTGAGCTGGAGGGTTAAAGTCAAGGGTAGACTTTATCTAAAATACAGGCCTAAACTATGCTAATAATAAAGTAGTACAAATCAAAACCAAAATTTCAATGAAATACTATTTTTCACTTATAACTATGGCAAAAATTTAAAAACTACCCAGTGGGGACAAGGATAGAGTGAAAAGGGCATTCAAATACACTCATTGCTGATGTGAGTGTAAATTGAAAAAAACCTTTTTGGGAAGTGATTTGGCAATGTATTATGAAAGCTTCAAAAATGTCCACATCCTAAGGAGACATATGTAATACTTATAATAATAAAGATTAAAAAGAATGTACCCATCTTTTGATCCATTAATTCTACTGACAGGAATGTCCCTAGGACAATAGTCTGAAATGAACACAAAGATTTATGTACATAGATATTATTAGCTGCATTATTTATTGTAGTATAAATATTAGGACACTCAGTTCTGGCAGAAGGGAAGAAAGACAATCTCAGAGAAGCATTTTCACTCTAATGTCTTTTCTTTCATTTCAGGTCTTTTGAATGTTTGGAAAATCTTTTTTTTTATATGTTTTTATTGATTTTTTTAGAGAGAGAGGAAGGGAGAAGGATAGAAATATTGATGAGAGAGAAACATCATTACTTGGCTGCCTCCTGCACACCCCCTACTGGGTATTGAACCTGCAGCACAGGCATGTGCCTTGCCCAGGAAATTGAACGGGTGACCTCTTGGTTCCTGGGTCGATGCATAACCACTGAGCAACACCAGCCAGGCTGGGAATTCTTTAAAATTATTTATATTATAAACAATGGCAGCTTTATTTATAACTAGAGGCCCGTTGCACAAAATTTGTGCAAGAGTAGGCCTTCCTTCCCCTGGCTGCTGGCACCGGGACCTGGTCTTCCCTTGCAGCCCCGGCTTCGTCCAGAAGGTGGTCCAGAAGGACGTCCGGTCTAATTAGCATATTATGCTTTTATTATTATAGATCGCTAACATTAAAAACAACTATATAGAGGACTAGATAAATAAGGCACATTTGTGTGACATTGTAGTAAATGCCTATACCAAGCATGTCAGACTCACGGCCGGGGGGCCACATGCCTCTCTCTTAAGGCATGCAGCCCGCCGGCCACGAGTGTGACATCCTTGGCCTATACTATTAAATTGACAACATTAGGGTGTAGAATCAAATTGTCGATTGTCCTAGGGTACAGAGTGGGGGAAACAGCACAAGGGAACTTTCTGGAGTAACAGAAATGTTCTGTATTTTGATTAGGATGGAATTAAATGAGTGTATATATTTGTCAAAACTCATCAAACTTAAAATGTGTGCATTTTGTTGTATTGAATTATTTTTTAAAAATCAAGGCACAAATTTTAATTTTGAGTTAAAAATATATGTATGGTGAAAGAAAATATACCAAAACACTAATGGTAGTTATTGCTGGGTAGTGGAGTTTTGTTTTTCTTATATTTTTTCAAACTTTCTATAAAGAACACAATCTTCTGCTATAATCAGAAAAAAGTATCATTCTGAAAAACAGTAACAACATTTGTACTTGCTTTACAATGACAAAGAGCTTCATCTGATAACTCAAGTCACCTGCATTACAACTCTCTGAGGCACGGT